GGGAGCCCGACCGCGTCCCGGCTGGGAGAACCCCGCGCTGTTGGTGTCAAACAGCGGATTTAGCGCTGTTGCTGAGCAGCTTTACCTCCATTCCTAAATAACGATTACTTCTTGTAATTACAAAGCAATTAATTGTTAAGGCTACAGCCAACTTTCTGCTGAAATCTGGTTTTGCACACTCGAATTTGGCATGAGACTAAAGTACTGGGTCAACACCAACGCAGAGACCGCGTTGATGGCCACAAGCTGTAGGCACTGGGGTCAGTGTGTATTTCTAACAGCCACTGGTGTAGCATTTGCAAGAGAGGAGTAAGTTATTTTATCATTTGTGGTCTCTTTGTAAAGGCAGAGTTGAGGTTACCTGAGTGTGTGTGGAGGAGAGGACTGTTAAGCTTTTGCTCTTGCAGTATTTTTGGAAATTTTTTTTTGTGGGATGCGGAAAGGACCTTCACAGCTTGTTCCTTGGTTTCCCACATCTGAATTGTGATGTTCCTGGGGGAGATTTGGGCAATTGCAAAGTTAACTCTCATCCTGAGGCAAGTTTTATGGTGGGAGTATAGAAACTTCATTCTTAAACAGCTCTGTTCAATTTCAGGAAATGAAATTGCAAGATACTTGAATCCAGAGGTCAGGAATGTGGAAATTTGCATGAGAAAATCAGACAGATAACTCTCATAAGCAACAAGGCAAACCAACCTGGCAGGAATGAGGAAGCTTCTCACGCTGTCACTGGGAGAGGAAAGTGGCTGGAGTTCAGGGCCAGGTCGTGGTGGGCAGGGCTGGTTCTCGGAGTGCCTGATGGCACTGGGACAGTGCTGGGGACAGAGACTGGTGTGAAGCCAGCAGCAGCCTGCCAGTGTCTGTCAGATAAAACAGCCAAGTTCAAGGCCTTCTGGAAGAAAGAGGGGAACAATTTGCATGGATATTGCCAGATCTGTTACTCGCTTTTGGCTGTGTAGGTACTCATCTTCTAAGGCAGATGTGTCAATATGTTGTCAGTTTACTGGGACTATGCTGCTAAGAGGCACCTTAAAAATACTAAAACCAGCAGGACTTCAACCCAGTTGTTATAGTCATATATATTTTTATGTGTTGTATATTAGAGGGAAGCTGTGTGATAGCTCTGCATGCGTCAGTGTAATTGCAAGTAAGGCTGTTGCACCTTGATGGAGGAGACAGGGTTTTGACAACCAGAGATGCTACGCTAATCCCTGACAGAGGACACTTCAAATGGCTGGAGCACACTCGCTCTCTTCCCTCCCTCCTGCCTTGGAGGCATTAATGGGCTTTTTGCCTGAAACTAGAGCAGAGAATTTCAGAGAAAACATCTCTGGACCCCCTGAGATTTTACATAGCTTTCAATATAATAACGTTTACTTTAAAAGCACTGCAGACTCTCCAAGGCAAGCATTTTCCACAATTAATAACTAGTTTTTCAATTCCCCTCCCAGTTTTTGAGAGAGCTGGGAAGAGAGACTGTGACAGCAAAATTAAATTGAATAAACACAAAGGGAAAAGTCTATGATGTACTCTACAAACTATGTAAACACCCCTTAGGAAGATAAGCCTTAACCACTTAAGTCAACAGGCGACACCAAATCTGTGCTCTGACCACATGGTTAACTTTACCCCGGTCACAGTAAGGACATTAAGCAATGGATGGAGCTTGTACAGGTCTCTGACGCTTCGCACTTGTTGACTTACTAGATGTGAGCATTTACTAGATCATCATATCCTCCGAGTCGTGTTCAACTACTGATCTCAGCTTCTTTCTACATACTCAGTTCTTAGATGTATTGCTCTCCTTTCAACATGTCAAAACGCTGTTCCCTGACCTTGCATCTGTTACGCCACCCGTCCTGTGCCGTGACCGTCTCCTGCATCATCTGGAGTAGGCTTTTGCGTGGCTTCTCTCCCTCTCATATCTAAATCTTTGCTCTACCCATTGTAACCTCTTTACTGGTATATGGAGGGACCTGTTACACCAGGAGAGCAAGGATATCTTTTATCCTTGCTAGTACAACTCTCTTTGTTTCATCTTACCCTTCTTCTGCCTAAACACCTACCTGTCTTTTGTCTTTCTTCTGGTATCACCTTTCTGCTTCCTCCCCATATTGTTATCCATGGTGGAGCTTCAGCCAGTCTCTCTTCAGCTCCCTCCTTAAAATGAGTTACCTTGCTGTCATTTCCGGATGAGTTCTGGTGGTAGATGCCTTTAGTCAGATCTCCCCGTGTCCGTATTTGCCTTTGCCTGCCACTGAAGGCTCCGTAGATCTTATCTGTTTGGTTGGTCAGATGAGGAACCTGGAAACAAAATCAAGTTTCATTGTGTATATTTTATTTCCTTTTTTAAAGGGCTGCTGTCCGAATCTGCACAAGGGACACTAAATCCTCCTTACACAAAATATCTTTAATTGCCTCTGACTTGCAAGGCAGACCCACCAGCACAACATGGCTGTATGATCAGACACTGCAAATATAATTATCTCTGTTATGAGTGAAATAGATTATGCTCCAGTTTCCCAGCATGTTTTCCCTTGCGTCAAGCACCGCCCGTACTGCTGCAGGGTGTTGCTTCCCAGCCTGTCCTGCTCTCTGGTGCCCAGTTCGGTGGGGCAGAAAGTACCTGGTGCCCTACCGCACCAGAGCCTTCAAGCACAGGCTGAGCTTACAGGTCAGTACCACTGAAACCAGTTCCGATTTAGCAGGCTCTCTGCTCCGTTCCTGAAGGAGCCTTTCCACCCCACCACATGCTTGGCACCCTTGCTGATTCTGAACAACAGGCAGAAATGCTTAGGAAAGCCATAGAAGCATAGTTGACGCAGAGAGAAATTATATAAGTAGCAGCAGCATGCAAAACTTCAGGGGAAGTCGCCTCTCCACGGTTATCATGTGGGAAGCTAACAGAAGACTGTATGGTTTCCTAGGCGCAGCTACCCTTATTGCTATTTTAATCCGGTGTTGAAAGTCTTTCCAGGGAGAACAGAAAACAGGATACGCTCGCAGACTGCGGTACTGCTGTCCTTGTGCCTGCGCTTTTCCCCAGCATGTTTCTGATATGGTTTTAACAGTGACTGGTACAGAGCCTTGTGAAAACCAGCCCAGAGATTTAATAGGCAGCAATGTCTATGTTTCTGCCCTCCCTAGACAAACTCCTGACCCAGTTTTCCCTCACCTTATTACACACAGAATCTGCTTCTGCGATCCAGTATCATGAGTGCATGTGGCCAGATAGATTTTAACCCCTAATGATTCAGACAACGTTAATTATGTAGTAGTTGTTTTTTTTAACATCAAGGACTCTTCTCTTTATTCATTCATTACGCTTTGCGATTCAAGTATAAATCAAGGAAGGTAACGTAAATTGCGTTCCTCAATTTGAGTAAGTGGGGGGAGTGACTCAGAGCAGGCTCATGCTCTCTTGTCTTTTCATATCTTCTAAATTACATTTTATACTTTTCATATCTTCTAAATTACATTTTATAAGCAATTAATATTCTGGGTCCTATAGATGGCTCAGGAGGAGAAATGGGACAGGCAGAAAGCCCTAGGAGAGACAAAGGATCTTCTAAAGACAGCCAAGGAATTTCAGGGTTCCTACCTTTTTCGTGCTGTCAGTTGACATCGGGGGTGGGGGCAAATTCTGTGCAATTTTGTCTGCTGCTGAAGTTAGTAATTGGAACTCAGAAGACACCTCGCGTGATTGATGTGCCGCAAGATGGTGTGAATTCAGAGCCTTTTCCTTAGTGCTGTGGCATTCAGGTACCTTTTGAATGTTAATTTCATATCTTCAGTCATTGTAGAAAGTGGGAAGGAAAACAGGGAAATTAAAGCAACAGGTCTAAGGCTAACCACAAAGCCAATACCAAAACAAACTAGTAACTGTAGGTTGTTGTCCCAATGCTTCACCTGTCCAGTGTCTTAACAGCAGCTCAGTCTTTCCTCCTTAAGGATTTTCGTTGCCATCAAATTGCTCCTTTAAAGTAGTTTCAATGTATGCAGTATTACTTTTCCAGACACACACTTACACACACCTATCAATCTATGTAACTTGTAACAAAATAATATTGCAGAGAAAAAACGAGGTTTTAAAGAAACATTCCAACGCCTAGCAAATAACAAACCACTTCTTTTCTGTGTTCCAGTTGATCGTGGATTCATCTGACTGTGTTACTAAACGTTTTGTAAGAGCAGATTGTTGACAACAGTTTAGATTTAGAAATGGCCTTCCATTTATAGTTTCCACTTCTGGCTGAAATAGGAATGCCATAATTGGCTTTTTTTGTTCAGCACGGAAGGGATCTCTCTCACCTCTGCTGGGGTGAACTGCGAAACAAATATCCTCTCCCACAATTTGTTTCCACTCTTTTGTTCAGCTGTAACCTCTCAGACCTGTTGTGTTGCCTCCTAGGGCTCTTGTATCAGGAATATCGAGATAAATCTACACGCCAGGAGATTGAAACTAGACGACTGCAGGATTCACAGACAGACCCAGAGGAGAGTTCACCCAGTGAGGAAACCCCATCTGAAGCAGAACCTACGAGTATAACCGAAAGCAAAGCTCCACCACAAATCAGTTTGCTGAGGAACTCCAACTCCAGGTTCAACTTATGGCAGGATCTGCCTGAGATACGGAGCAGCGGAGTCCTCAGCATCCTCCAGCCAGATGAGATCAAGCTGCAGGAGGTAATGGGGAAGGGTGGAGTGTTTCTTAACTGAGTTGCTGCTTAAAAGAGTGAGAATGCATTAAGTCAATACTCAAGATTTAAAAACTAAAAGCTTTATAGCAGTCACAGACAAGCCTTGCCCTGCTGAGTACTTTTCTGTGTTGCACTGGTTAGCAC